TACAAGAATATCTTAGTGAGGAAAACAGTTTGTATAGGCAGAAGAATAGTTGACATGGTTTCAAAATAATAGTAGAGAAACATGTCTCGGTTCGAGCAGAGAGAAAGGTAGGGAGCGTTTAATGGAATGGCAAAGTATAGGAGAATTTTTAAAATAATAAAGGTACAAAACAGAATTAAAAGAAGCTTATAGATCAGCAAGAACAAGGACAAGGAAATAAAGAAAATAAAAAGGTAAAATAATAAGCTAGGCCAGGCACGGTGGCTCACACCTGTAATCTCAGCACTTTGGGAGGCTGAAATGGGTGGATCACTTGAGGTCGGGAGTTTGAGACCAGCCTGACCAACATGGAAAAACCCCATCTCTACTAAAAATACAAAATTAGCTGGGCGTGGTAGCAGGCGCCTATAATTCTAGCTACTCAGGAAACTGAGGCAGGAGAATCACTTGAACCTGGAAGGTAAAGGTTGCGGTGAGCTGAGATCACGTCATTGCACTCCAGCCTGGGCAACACAAGCGAAGCTCCATCTCAAAAAAAAGAAAAAAAAAAAAAAATAAGCTAAACATGATGGAAGGAATAAAATCAAGTGTATTTTTCAGTAAATGTTAATTCTCCCATTAAAAGACAAACTGTTAGAGTAAATGAACATGTGAAACCTACCTATATTTTGTTTATAGGAGATGCAAGTAAAACAAATAATGGAAAGATAAGGCTATTTATTTATTATTAATAGAGATGGGATCTTGCTATGTTACCCAGGCTGGTCTTCAACTCCTGGCCTCAAGTGATCCTCCTTCCTTGGCCTCCCAAATTGTTAGGATTATAGATGTGGGCCACTGTGCATAGCTTATAAGGTTATTTCTTATAAAAAATATTATGTAAGAGATGAATGTACAAATAAAAAAACAAAAAAGTAATAGCAATTTTTATATTAGATACATTAAAGTTTAAAAGATTTCAGCTAAATAAAGAGGTATATTAGGTAGCGATATGAAAGACAATTTATAACAAAACATGTCAGACAACATGGCAGCTAAATTTATGACAGAAAAGCTATTAGTGATGTCAGAGGCATCTAATAAAAGTATAATTGTATGGGAGATTTCAGTGTATCTCTTTTAGAATTGGACAGATATAATAGAAAAAAGAGAAAGGACATAGAGGGAGTTAACATTATGATGAATAAACTTGATTTTATAGAAATGTAAATATATATAAAGTAAAAATATATAAAGTACCTGTATGTCTATATAACTATACATATATATTTCTTGCGGACCTGCTTTTTTGGTGTATGTTCAAGGACCATTGATAAAAGAAAAGTTACAAATTCTAAAAAATAAGAGATTTTTACTGGTCACATTTTCTGATTGTATTAAGCTATTCATGTGTTGTTATAAGAAAAATACCTGAGACTGGGTAATTTATAAAGAAAAACTTAATTGGCTCACAGTTCTGCAGACACTACAAAAAGCACGGTGCCAGCATCTGCTTCTGGTGAGGGTTTCTGGAAGGTTATAGTCATGGAAGAAGGCAGAGGGGGAGCAGATGTCTCACATGGTAAGAGCAGGAGCAAGATAGGACAGGGGAGGTGCCAGAGTTTTATTTTTTTTATTTTTAAATTTTTTTGAGACAGAGTTTCTCTCTCGTCATCCAGCCTGGAGTGCAATGGCACGATCTTGGCTCACTGCAATGTCCTCCCGGGTTCAAGGGATTCTCTTGCCTCAACCTCCTGAGTAGCTGGGATTATAGGCGCCTGCCACCACGCCCAGCTAATTTTCATATTTTCAGTAGAGATGAGGTTTCACAATATTGGCCAGGCTGGTCTCGAACTCCTGACCTCAGGTGATCTGCCCACCTCGGCCTTCCACAGTGTTGGGATGACAGGCGTGAGCCACTGCACCCAGCCTGTCACACCGTTTTAAACAAGCACGTCCTGTGAGAACTCACTTACCATCTCAAGGACACCAACAAGCCATGAGGAAACTGCCCCTATGACCCAAACGTCTCCTAACAGATTCCACCTCCAACATTGGGGATTACGTTTCAAAATGAGTTTTGGAGAGGACAAATATGCAAACCATATCACTGATTATACTCATTAAATTAGAAATAAGTAGTTATAATATGACAAAATCCACACCAACTGGAAATTAGGAAACATAATCTGAAGTAACTTGTTGATTGAAGAGGATATTATAAATTATCTACAAAACACTGAAAAGGAGAACACATTGTGCCAGTATCTATGGAATACAGTAAAACTAATTAAGAGAAAAGTTTTAGTTCTAAATTCATTCATTACTAAAGAAGACAGGCAAAAAATAAACTTAGTGCTTAAAGAACTTAGAAAAATTATGAAACATACTGAAAGAAACTGAAGATTGAATTAAAGAAAAAGCTGAAATTAATGAGATAGAAAAAAAATTAAAAATGAAAAATATGAACCCAGCGCAGTGGCTTATGCGCTGTAATCCCAGCATTTTGGGAGGCCGAGGTGGGTGGATCACTTGAGGTCTGGAGTTTGAGACCAGCTTGACCAATATGGTGAAACCCCATCTCTACTAAAAATACAAAAATTAGCCGAGCGTGATGGCGTGTGCCTGTAATCCCAGCTACCTGGAAGGCTGAGACAGGAGAATTGCTTGAACCCAGGAGGTGGAGGTTGCAGTGAGTCAAGATTGTGCCACTGCCCTCCAGCCTGGGTGACAGAGCGTGACTCTGTCTCAAAAAAAAAAAAAAAAAAGATAAATACATATATGTTTATACATACATAAGCTTTCGAAGAGATCAGTAAAATAGTTAAACCTCTTACAGTGTTGACTAAAGAAAATAGAGCAAAAATACAGCAGATTTAGAATAAGAAGGAAGATATAGCCAGTGATAGAGAAATGATTAAATAACTGTTAATTATAAAGATACCAACTCACAGCATATTATTTACAATAGCCAAAATGTGGAAACAACCCAAATGTCCATCTACTATCCCAGATGAATAAACAAAATGTGATATGTCTGTACAAGTGACCTTTTAGCCATGAAAAGGAGTGAAGTACTGGTACATGTTACAGTATAGTTGGACCTACAAAATATTATGCTAAGTGAAGGAAGAAGCCAGATATAAAAGGTCACATACTGTATGATTTCATTTATAGAAGTATCTAGAATAGATAAATCTATAGAGACAGAAAGCAGATTCTATATATTTTGGAACATACAGATAACGTTTACACAGCACTGTGAATCCACTAAATGCCATTGAATAGTACACTTTAAAATAGTGAATTTTATGTTGTGTGTATTTCACCTCCTCCCCTCCAGAAAGATTCCAATTATGTTTTATACACTGTTTAAAGGACAGTTAATTATAGCTTTTTTTAAAAAAAATGAAGCTAGTGTAACTTTAATACTGATACCCAGATGTACAATAAAAGAAAACTGTAATTCAGCCTTGCTTTGTTACTCATTATGGTAACTGTTCCCACCTTGTCTCAGGTGAATAGATGTTGCCACGTCTCTTGTGTTGGGATCCTGTTATCTATTAAACTTAAGGAGCCAGTTTCACTGTTGGCATATTTGTCATCTTTGCCCTGCACTAATAGAGCTTTGATTGATGATGGTATCCTCTGGACGCTTTTTGAAAACATAGGGAGTTTGTGAGCATGGCACATATAATATATATCCATCTAGTATCCCATTTCCTTGAGTCTTTGATATGCTTCCTTTGGTGTGTACTGAGGCTCACTTAGCATCTCACTTAATATGGACCACTGTTGAGTCCAGGTTTCGGTTAACTGACTGAGCAACTGTTAGGGACACCCCCAACTGTTTGAGCTAACACGCTGAGCCTGGAATTTCTGGTCTTTCATCCATATCAGTACATTTCTTCCTCTCTGGATATCTTAGAATTCGCTCTCACACATATTTTTTAGGGTTCTGATAAAAATTGGCAAAATCTTGCAACTCTTTTAGTGTGAATAGTAACTGCTTGGGTTAAATTTTATACTTGTCTCCCTGGTATCTATGGGAGTTGAGTATAACTTTGGGTCTGGAAGCAATGAGAAGTGGTGGTGGAGTGGTCTGGAGGACCACTCCATTCTCCTGAAAAGTGACTGCTTCAGGAGGTGGAGTCTTCAGGCATTGTAAGGTTAATTTTCTCAGACAGGAGGGCAGAGTTGCTTTTGGTAGCAAGGGAGGCTTGATAGGATTTGGGGATTCAAGGTACTCAGATTAATGAGAATCTATCTAAATGTCCTAATACCAGTTCTCTAGGTACTTCTCTTTACTGTTACATGCCTTAACTTTAACATAACAGACCTGGTGCTGATGTGAATTCAACTTGCAATGTAATTCAGCTTCCAGTAAGACTATACCTAGAGTTTGTTTTTCAGAAATCTCAACCCTGTTTCTGTAAGAATTAAGAAATTCAGAAGTTTTCTGGTTCTTTTAGTCTTGAGCTGGACATTTAAGCCTTTAGCTTGCTGTGTTTGTTCTATAACTTTTCCAGTGCATGCAGAGGCAGCAGCCCATTCTATAGTCTTTATACTTTATTTTCACCTTACATTGTATTGATATAGCTACTTGGTCTTTTAAAGCTTTGCTTAGACTCCAGGCAACTAAGGGTGATAATTTAAGTAACTGTTTGCCACTGAATGCCATAGACCATCAGTGTTCTATTTGTTATTTGTATTGAAATCATTACTATCTACACATCTGTATTAGTCTGGTAAAGACATACCCGGGACTGGGCAATTTACGAAAGAAAGAAGTTTAATCGACTTACAGTTCCACGTGGCTAGGGAGGCCTCACAATCACGACGGAAGGCAAGGAAGATCAGGTCACATCGTACGTACACGGATGGCAGTGGGCAAAGAGAGAGCTTGTGCAGACAAACTCCCATTTTTAAAACCATCAGATCTCGTGAGACCCATTCACTGTCATGAGAACAGCATGGGAAAGATCTGTCCCCATGATTCAGTGATCTCCCACTGAGTCCCTACCACAACACGTGGGAATTATGGGAGCTACAAGACGAGATTTGGGTGGGAACACAGCCAAACCATATCAACATCTAAGAAAGAACTAATTCAAGATTCTCATCTTTAAGATTCTTTCCCTTGGAACCGCTTCTTCTACCATAAACTGTATTGCTATCAAGGTATAGTCAGGAAAGAGAAGCTACTCTATGTACTCTAGATATAAAGAGTTTAGTAATAAAGTTAGGAGCTCAAATGAATTATGGAGGGGCCAGGGATGCAAAGCTCATGAAAACTGTTGCCGAAGGTTGAAGGTCGAAGTCAGCATTGAAGATCTCAGCCTGAAGCACTGAAGTGGGTGTTTCTCAAAAGCTCTCTGGGAATCTGCTGGAATCCTGCAGTATTGAGAAACTTCCACCAGCTACCTCAGTCTGCAGCACTGGTGGCTGTTGGAAGCTCAGCAGGAAGCCGTTGTGCACTTCATATCTGTCAGTCCATCTACTACAACTATATCTGGAAAAAAATGGTTTCTCCTTTTTGCATTCACACATGCATGTTCTTCCCACTGGCAGACTTTTAATGAGGAACCGTTCAGGGAAAGGGATTCTGGGAAATGGGGATTGCAGCTTCTCTTTTGTAATGCTGAGGAGTCCTTAGAAAGGAGTGATGGTGTTGCCTAATTGACAGTAGATGATCTAGCACTGAATTCTGTGTTAGCTTTTCAAGGAACATACACACATACGGCTTTCAAGGGGAGATACACGCACATACATTCCCCCACACCCAGCCCACTGTGACTTTGGGTACCAAACCAAATTAAATTACTTCAGAGAGCCCAAAGAAACAGAGGAGAGGATAAAATATATTTTATTGAAGTAGTCGCTTTATCACTTGTTTCTCTCTTTTTCACTTATTTTAAAAGATTATAAATCTGGAAGGGCTTCTGTATAGATTTCTAATATTAGGAAACATTCAGTGTCTTCCATTGGCTTGCTTTTCCTTGTCTTCTGTAGAAAAATATGGTGAGAAAAACATGATTTTTGGAGTCAGAATGTGTTTCAATTCTGGCCCTACTAGTCTGTTTCTTATCTTTTAATGACAATAATAGTGTTTTTCCTTATGGTTGTGAGGGTTGAATTTTGTAATGCATATAAAACACCTAGCACAGGACCTGGTTTATAGTAAGAACTCAGTACATAGTAGTGTTTAACCTCGTTTTTAAATTCTTACTAAGATACAAATGGCTTCTTCCTTCTTTGGTTTTGTTTTTTAAAACACGTGAATATTCAGTTGGCAAAGTTTCAGTAGTTGTAGCAGAGACAGGTTTTGGGCAAGTGACTTAGACCCTATTCCTCATTTTATTTACCTGTGAGCGTGTAGTTTTTCTCTTGAGGAAAAGGTAGTGAAAGGGACTTTTAAAAAAGACATCTTGGATCTCTAAATCAGGTAGAAGCAGATGGCTACAGATTCCTTGCTTCTCTAACTTTGATGTTAATGTGGTCCCCAGCTGAGGGTTTTAACTGTTCAGGTACTCTGAACAGACGTGTGACTTTTTGATATTCCGGGGGTAATTTTCCTTGAGATCAGCCTTTTCCCCTAATTTGAGACTTTGGCTATTTTTAATGTACATTTCATTCTTTTAATTTCCATTTATGTCTTCCTAATGCTGCATTTGTTTGAGTTGACAAAACGTAAGTCTGTTTTTTTCATTCATAAGAAAAATAGCTACTCATTATATATTAACTTGATTATTTTAAGTCTGTAGTTGAAGCAATAAAGCTAAGATATAATTCATTAACTTTTAAAATTGTTACTTGTTTATTTTGATTTTTTAATTTTTAAATAGTGTTTTAAACTAAAAAAGACAATCCACAGAAAACTCATAGACTTTTAACCTTATAGTTACGATGTTTTATAGGAAAAAAATAATGTCTTGGTTTCTTTTAGGTCTTATGGAAGTGTATTTAAAGCAATACACAAGGAATCTGGTCAAGTTGTCGCAATTAAACAAGTGCCTGTTGAATCAGATCTTCAGGAAATAATCAAAGAAATTTCCATAATGCAGCAGTGTGACAGGTATGAAGAGATTTTATTTCTTTGCTTACCCTTGTTTTGACAAGTTTTGCTAATAACGTATAACAAAATTTATTCTTTGATCACCTGTTTAGTTTTCATTTCTTTTTCTTTTCTTTTTTTTGAGACGGGGTTTTGCTCTTGTTGGCCCGACTGGAGTGCAATGGTGTGATCTCGGCTCACTACAACCTCCGCCTTCTGGGTTCAAGTGATTCTCCTGCTTCAGTCCCCTGAGTATCTGGGATTACAGTCATGTGTCACCACGCCTGGCTAATTTTGTATTTTTAGTAGAGATGGGTTTATCCATGTTGGTCAGTCTGGTCTCGAACTCCTGACCTCACGTGATCCACCTGCCTTGGCCTCCAAATGCTGGGATTACAGACGTGAGCCACCACGCCCAGCCTGGTTTTCATTTCTGACTTCCCACTGTAAGTGAGATTAATCCTTTAAGGCAGATGAGGATGGCTTTGTCAAGTGTCTTTAGGACTTACAGCTCTTTGCAGCTTTTCTGCTTAAAAGCAGAAATGAGACTGGATGTGGTAGATCACACCTGTAATCTCAACCCTTAGGGAGGCCAGAGCATCGAGGGTAAAGGAGCCTAGGAGTTCAAAGCCAGTCTGAGCAACATAGTGAGACCCTTTGTCTACCAAAAGAGAAAAAATTAGCCAGGTGTGATGGCTTGGACTTGTAGTCCTAGCTACTTGGGAAACTGAGGCGGGAGGATTGTTTGAGCCCAGGAGTTCAGGGCCACAGTTAGCTATGATTGCAGCACTGCACTACAGCCTGGACATTTTTAGCACAACTTTATGGATGAGAATGAGTTTTTGATGTTAAAGGGGTCATTTAGCAGTATGTATTGTATAATCACTTTTACTAATTAAGAAATCATGTTTTATGTAAATCTAATTCATTCAGCAAACATTCACTAAGCATCCCCAGTTGACCCAGTACTGTGCCAGGATCTAAGAATGCCAAAAGAACTAAGATACCTTTTTCTTTTTGAGGGATCAGTAGTGTAATTGGGAAGACAAATATATAAATAAGTAACTGTAATATAGCACACTCATTGTACTGACTGGTGCATGGGGTAATGTGAAAAGAAGAAGGCAGGGCATCTTTCTCAGCCAGTAGAGCCAGGAAATCTGGAATGCTGACAAAGAGTTAATTTGGTGAAGAAATGGAGTGATAAGGGAGAGTCAAGGGAATGACGGGTAGAAAGGTAAAAATAGCTCATTGGGGTGTGCTCATCTGACAAGACTTAGAATTATTGGAATGGAAAGTATGGGACAGAGAACAGAATGAAATGAGGTTGGATAGTTAAATGGAGCTGATGGTGAGGAGCGTCTTATGCAATGTTAAGTGGCCTAGGCTTTATTCTATAAGGGATTCAGAGTGTATAAATTATGACTATGTTTAGCCTAAAGTTACTTAACCACAGAGGAATTTATTATTCTCCCTTAACAAAAGGTCTGCTGGTACAGCAGCAACAAAGGAACAACCAGGTCTCAGCCTTCTTTTCTTGTACTCTGTCATCCTTAGCATATACTTTGTCCTCATGCTTATTATCTCAGGGCTACGACAGGGCTGCTATAGCCCCAGCTTTATGTCTACATTCCAGGCAGGAGGAAGAAAGGAAGAAGCAGGGAAGGGGCTTTTCCAGAAACCTTCAGCTTCAGTCTTATTTGTAAGAATTGTCTCATCTGTGACTTAGAGCTGGTGACACAGGGTTGTCTGGACACATTGTCTCCCCTTATCAATTCAGGGCCCTGTAATTAGAGATTTATGGAAAGCTTTCTCTCCTGACAATACATAGGATCTATAGATTGTAAGCTTCTTGGCTAATGAAGTGATTGCATAATCCTAGAGGAACTTTGCTGCTTGGATCTGTTCAATTTTGCTTTTTTTTAGAGTATGCTGCATATTTAAATTATGTTATATATTTCCCACAGCATGTGAAATTCAAGTGGTTGTAGAAAAAAAAAGATACATTCCTCAACTGTGGTTCCCACAATTTGATATAGAATAGGAGATGAGATAGCATAGTGCTCGGCCATCAGGTATGCTTTATACTTGCCTGATGCTAGCATTATTCTGTTATTATGGTTAAAAATAGTTCAGGAATTAGCATTGTACTTTGAGTGTTGTCTAGGAAAGTCAGGTTCTCAAATATTACTATTACATATTTCTTCCCTTAATCTTTGTAGGTCTTGGAATCTGTCAAATCTTGCTCAGATTTCTGCAACAGCATCTTAATTGTTCACTTTGTCTTTCATTTTTGCCTCCTCCAACCCATTATCTTCCTTGAAGCTAGAGTGTTTTTTTCTAAAATGCAAATGTAATCAAGCATTCTCTGTTTAAAACCTGTGGCTCCGCATTGCCTCGAGAAATCGAGTCTCCAGTCCTTCATGTTCCATCTGGTGCTTACACCTCCAGTCTGTTCCCTGAGTTTCTCTTTTAAGTGTCTGTTTACTTGTATTCTCTTTTTTTTTTTTTTTTTTTTTTGAGACGGAGTCTCGCTCTGTCGCCCAGGCTGGAGTGCAGTGGCCGGATCTCAGCTCACTGCAAGCTCCACCTCCTGGGTTTACGCCATTCTCCTGCCTCAGCCTCCCGAGTAGCTGGCACTACAGGCGCCCGCCACCTCGCCCAGCTAAGTTTTTGTATTTTTTAGTAGAGACGGGGTTTCACCGTGTCAGCCAGGATGGTCTCGATCTCCTGACCTCGTGATCCGCCCGTCTCGGCCTCCCAAAGTGCTGGGATTACAGGCTTGAGCCACCGCGCCCGGCTACTTGTATTCTCTATCATCTAAGTCTTAAGTTCCTTGAATTCGGGGATTGTATTTTACTCAGTGTCCTTGGATCCTGCCATATAATGGTTACTCAGATACTAATGAGTACTTCTATTTAATAATTTCTGTTTGGGCAACTCAACTAGACTATCCAGAGGGAATTACACATTTAACATTCTAAAACCAGTTTTAAACATTCCAGACAAGCCTTTCAAATTCCTGTGTGTCAAAGGCATCATCATGTACTTAGTCTTTTAGCAAGTCTGAGAATGATCTTTATTCCTTTTTATGATGCTTCTGATGATACTGAGACTTGTAGATTTTCCTTCTGAAATGTCATCACTATCTTTATTCTTCTCGTCATTCCTTAAGGAAAGGAACCATATATTTTTCTTCATTAGCACCTGTTCAGTGCCTAGCAATATACTTTTTGATGAATGAATGAATGAATGAATGTGGTATGTATGAGGAGTATGAGGAAGAGCATTACAGATTGAGGGAACCCTAAGGAAATCAAGTACTTATTCTTGCTATGCACTTTAAGCTTTTAAAGCAAAAGAAAAGTAAAGAATACAGTGGGAAGGAAATGTGAATAGAATTCTAGAACTTTTGTACCACTTTATAGCAGAATGCCTTGCACATAGTAGGTACTTCTCAAGTATTTGTTGAATGAAATAAATGGTGAAGCAAATATTGATGAAAAATGGTTTGTGCCTTTTAGATTTCACTGTCAAATTCATATTGTAAGTATGAAGTTGCGAAGGATCAAAAATCAGTTGGCTAAAAGATCCTAAAATGCTAAAAGATAGGACAAGTAAAAAATAAGTAAGGGCTGGGCATGGTGGCTCATACCTGTAATCTCAGCACTTTGGGAGGCCGAGATGGGTGGATCATCTGAGGTCAGGAGTTCAAAACCAGCCTGGCCAACATGACAGAACTCCGTTTCTACAAAGATACAGAAATTAGCTGGACATGGTGGCCGGTGCCTGTAATTCCAGCTACTCGGAAGGCTGAGGCAGGAGAATCACTTTAACCTGGAAGGCGGAAGTTGCAGTGAGCCGAGATTGCACTATTAAACTCCAGCCTGGGTGACAGAGTGAGACTCTTTCTCAAAAAAAAAAAAAGAAAAACAATTAGGAAATGACAGGGACAAACTTAGATTTTTAGCTACCAATAAATAATATTAATGTAAATATGTTATTAAGAAATTAGCATAAAAATGATTGGAAGAAAACAGTATGAATTGAAAAATTCCCAAATAATACACTGAAATTTTGGTTAGGGAAAATGAGATATGCATTTCTGAAATTTAGCTATTAATACATTCAGCTATTTGTGAATTTGGTAAAATGTCTTGCTTTCTATACTCTATAAAAAGACCAGAGGTGGTGTTTTTATCTTTTTTTTGTTCTTTTAAGTGAATATTTAATAATGGGCTGAATACCACATGTTGGCATAAATATCTCAGGAAGCCCATCTGCTTTGTTTATTGCTGAATGTGCAGTGCCTAGTTCGGTACCAGGTACAGAGTAGACATTTAATAAGTATTTATTAAATGGATAAATCATGGAATGTTATTATTGCTAGACTCAACTTTTGTGGGTCAGCTAGTTTAGTGTTTTTCAAATCATACCCTGATCTAAGAAGGTACTTTTAGTGGCATTTTCTTCACTGAAGAATTGAGTAGAATGAGAACTTCATTATTGCTTTTATCTTTTTTATATATGGGACTCTTTTGAAATTTTTATTTGAGGAAAAGTCTTCTAGTGCTAGAGCATATTTAAAAACAGTTTTGCAGATACAGAAAATGAGACCTAGAGCTTTTATGTGAATTGCCCAAGATCACACTGCTAGTTAGTGACTGAGATGCAATAAGAACCCGCATTTACCCTACTCTAGGGCCAATGTTGAAGAAAGCAATGTCTGTAAAAAAATTCCAACAGTTCAAAGTGAAGCACTCTCAAGGCATTCCTAGGAGTAGAGGTAACAACTGGTTAGCAATACTATGTGCCAGGTAATATGTACACAAGGGAACCACAACTGACACAGTCCCTACTCTCCTGGTGCTTATATGCCAGAGAAGGAACTTTTCACATTTAAACAAAGAGAAATAATGTTGATACAAATCAGGGCACACACCTATCCTCTTTTTACCTGTTCAACTAGTATGTATTGAGTACCTCCTACTCCTAAGTGTAGCCCTGATTTGCTCTCACAA